TAATTAAAATTTTTATGGTTTGCAACGGATTTACAATCGAACTACATGGAGCAATGGTTCTATTTGACACAGTGCGACTACATATATGCGACTATATATATATATATATATAACATATATCATCTAATGAACCTCTTATAAACTGCAGCTGCTACTCCGCGATACGGAATGCACCTCCTAATCATATCTCAATAAATATCTGACTATATTGGAAGGCTAAATTGCTGTCAACTATTAGAGACCATTTTAATCTGCCAAGTAACTGCACCTTTCAGGACGATTCTGCTCCTTGTTATCGGGCGAAAAGTTTAAGTAAGCACTTCTGTAATTACTTTAGCTTCAGTTCTGCATAAGAAGTAAGACAGTAATGCGTTCACTTTTGTTATAAATGAAAAAATTGGTTGGAAGAACAGTCTATTACAACTTTTAAATGGCCAGGAAACAGCTCCTATAGAGAATTGTTGGCATTGTATGGAATCTGCAGTTGCCAAAAAGAAACCAAAGACCTTTCGTAAACTTTAGGAAGCGATAATTCGTGTTTGGAATCACGAACTATCAGTTGATTATCTTCAGAAATTAATTTTATCAATTCTGCCTTGACAATGTGCTGCTGTTATTAGGCTAGAGGCGGTTCAACTAAATATTAGTTTGCATCTGGTGAATTTTTAATTTTGTTTTTTATTTGAAATGATAAATTAAAGCAACTTGGAGGTTTCTGATAACATTTCAGCCATAATTGTCGTATTTATAAAACTGTTGTATAAAAATTGCAAATGCTCTTTTTGAAATATTTCGGAAGCACTTGTCAAATATTAGTTAGTTTTGCATTAATTATTAATAAATATTTTTTGTTTATATTTCTATCGTATTTTGTGATGCTAGTCATTAATGTAACATACTATACCATCGCAAAAGATGGTGAGAAATATGAAATTCCTGCGTGATGCACTTTCTTTGAACACTAGTGTATATTGTGACGTTGCCGTCTCGCGCGCGTCCGCCGAATACCTTTTCGATCGCAAAGCGCGGATTAAAGGACCGCGCCAGTCAATTGTATTTGCGTTGGTTCTCGCACGTTTAGCGTTTAAGTTTCGTTCGTATTGTATGTGGGTCGTCCGAGTGTGTGTGTCGGTCGCGTAAAGCACGTCTTTTTGTACTTCGTTATGAATCTTCGCATCTAAAACTTGCGTGCACGTTGGTGCGAATTCTTTCGCGATTATTGTATGGGTTGCGCGAGAGTAAACCGCGTAAATTCGATGTGTTAGGTTTGTGGTACAGAATCGCGTTTCGAAATTGTGAGCGCGTTTTGTGAGAGTTTCCTCGCGATTCTTGCATGGATTGCGTGCGTGTGTGCTGAGTGTTCGACACTGCGTATCACGTCTGTCCGTATCAAAGCATGTTCGCGTTGCGTTAATTGCCTGTTAGTATTAAGTTGTGTAGTAACAGTTGGCGAGAATAACGGGCGATACGTTCGCCGTCAGCTGATCGAGATTGTTGAGCGGATCAGGTTATCACCCGAATTAACGTCGCAACTAATTATTTGTCAACCCCGCGGTGCGAGATGGAGTTAACGCCGAGCGAGAAGATTCCGGCCGATATACTGGGCCGGCTTCGGCGTACATTCCGGGGTTTCGCGACCTAGTCTTGCCCGCGTTTTTCTCTTTTACCTCAGCCGAATATCCGCGCGGTTTATCATTGCTACTCTCCAGGGAGCTTCGGCTCCCACTATTATAATAAACCTGTTATTCTCTTTGTTTAATTTACGAGTTTCTTTTCAATTGTGTTTGTCATTTCCGTAATTGTCGTTTCTTGCATTACTTATCGCGTTAGAACAACACTTGCTCTGCCTTTCTACCGTTAGGCGAGCTAGTCAGCCCGTGGCGAATTCCGACAAATTCTTTCGCGCCTATTTCGCGCTTATTTCATGCGATTCGCGAATTGATACGTGAAAGATCGAATCTGGCGCCCAAGTTCGATTTTCGCGATTATCTCTCGCATCTTGTCACGGTACGCGCGAAACTCCTAATATCCCGTTCCCACCCGGCGCGTGGATCTTTTTCTCCATTTTGTTTTTGACAACGACTATTCCGCATCTCCCGTTCAGCGAATTAGCTCCTGTTCGTCGGCGCAACGTACATCC